AATCAGGCAATATGTCTCCTACTTCTGACCATAAGCTAGTAAGCTACCATGTCGGGAATGCAATTGCACTCCACTATTGGACTTTACTCTATGAACGCATCCCATAAGCTCGTGATTAGTACTGTGATATATTGTGCAATGGTCATAGTGTCGTGTTCGCACCTATGAATCTAATCTTCCATATTCGTCAAACCATTTTCATTAAGTTTTGCAAATCTATGTTTCTGCTCATACCACATGCCTTGACATTTTCATGACTCATTAGGGAACATTTTATGTCCTATTGCAACGAATTCAAGATCACAGTAAGATTACAGCTAGAGGTGGCAATTAGAATTCAAATCCATGAATCCGGGACCGGATCACCTCAATAACCATTCCATCAGTAACCATCAGTAACCCCTTCCTCTGGCCCCCACGTGTCAGCTTTTTCTTTTTATTTAAAAAAAACACGGAGGGGCACTAAGGTAAAATTGCACCCCTATTTAATGATGTCTCTGACGCGCTGACGCGACGCGGATCCCACTCCCCACCCCACACTGGTTGTCAGGTCCCCCCTTTCTCTCACTCTTTGTTTTATTTTATTATTAAAAGAAAAAAATATTATTTCTTCTCTCTCAACAAAAATGAATCTAACCATCCTAACTATCTCTAAACTAATTTCAGCTCAAATTGAATGATGATTTTTTCATTAAATAATACATTGTTAAAGACACTAATTACAAGTATAAATATGATTATCACTTTCTACTATCATGGTAAAACATGGTAAAACATGGTAAAATATGGTAAAATATGTTGAAGAAAATTACAATTCTAACTACCATACAATACCACATGGTAAAACGTGGTAAAACATGTTAAATATGTTGAAGAAAATTAAAAATCTAACTACCATACAATACCACATGGTATAACGTGGTAAAACATGCTACAGAGATTTACAAATCTAATTACCATACCATACCATATGGTATAACATGCTAAAATAAAATTACAAATCAAACTACCACCACATGGTATAACTTGGTAAACCACGCTACAGAAAATTATAAATCTAACTAGCATACAATACCACCATAGTAGAACATGGTAAATCAAAGGACCACAAATTAATTATAAGTACCATATAATACCACATGGTATGAGAAGGTAAAACCATGTAAATCTAATTACAACCCTCTACGACCATAGTAAAAACATGATATTCATAAAAATACATTTCGTTACCATAAATTACCATATGGTATGGACACGTTACCATATGGTATGGACACGTTACCATATGGTATGGACACGTTACCATATGGTATGGACACATTACCATACGGTATAGTAATCTCAATATATATATACAATTACGACTTTCTTCACTTTCTTCTCTCCTTTCATTGTCTTCTAACTCTTCTTTCTCGGAACTGGTGTCGATTACCACCCACTACCACCATGATAAAACTCGTTTCTATAAAAATACACTTAGTTAGCACACATTCCCATATGGTATAATGTGGTAATATCAATATATATTCTCAAAGAAGGGGAAACAGAAGGAGGAAGAGGGGAAAAATTCGTCTTCTGTCTCCTCTCATTTACTCCTCCGCAATGAAGAACACCGAATGCAAAAAGAAAGAAAAAGAGGAAGAAGATCGGAATTAATTCACAAACAAATACTAAAACACAAAAGATGCAAACTCAACTCACCTAGATCTGTCCCCTCTTTGACAATATGGAGCATCATCGATTTTGAGGCCGAGAAAAAAAAAACAGAAGGAAGGAGCAGCTTGAGAGTAGAAGGATTTGGAGCGTCACCGAATTTGAAGTGGGAGGCTGCAATTTCTTCATCGATTGTTGGAGAAAAAAATGAAGAACAAGAGAAGAAAGGAGATTTAGATCTGGAAAAAGAATTTTGGAAGAGAGAAAGGAAGAAAGAGAAAAGAGAGAGGAAGAGAAAAGTCTGTTTTTTCTCTTTCCTCCAGACAACACATATAAATGCTGGAAAAAATAAAAAAAGGAAAGAAATCAAATTTCAAAAATCGGACAAAAATGCCCCTCCTCACTCCACGTGCAGCACAGCAATATAATAATACCATCCCTAGATCTACGGTCCGGATTTAATACTGATAGGTCAGTAACCAATGGTTACTGACCCTATCTGCTGCCCATGAATCCAATCCATCCACCAAATTATCCACCTAATCCAATCCATTTTATCCAAATCCAATTGGATTGGTGGATTCATGGATCAATCCATGGATCCAAATGGCAAATTACGATTTGATACCTATATTTTTTATATTTTACATTTTGGTACCTAAAATTTATATTTTTGTACGAAAAATATCATTGGAAAATTACATTTTGGTACCTAAAATTTTTCATTGTAACATTTTAGTACCAAAACTTTTCAAATTTTACATTTTGGTCCAAGCCTTGGATGTAATTTGGATTCATGGATCAATCCACCAATCCATTTGATCCAATCCATGAATCCACCAATCCATTTGATCCATGGATCCACCAATCCAATCCACAAATCCGATCCAATTGTCACCTCTAATTACAGCTATCGGACAAACGAAAGTTTAGATCATTCGCATTGACAAAGAACCATGGATAAAACCAAGTTATGATACAGTTTCATGGCCTTTTTCACAGATCTACTCAACACTGAGTAGTTGTTACGCATCAAGAGACTCAGAAACATTCATTGAGTAAAATTCTAATTTGAGTTCAAGTAAAGTGAGTTACTGAGGGAGATCATGTAGAATTATTGTTGTTGTTATTGTTGGTAGCGTTTTGACAAACGGATACCAAAACTGAAACCTAGAACCTGAGCCATTTTTTAAGTTCCCACTCATTCATAGAATGCCGTAAGTTTACGCTAGCATTCTTAGTCGTCAAATATAGTGGATTAATAGTCGACCTAGGTTAGCGGCTTTGATACCATAAGAGAATTCTATATAGGATTGATTTTTTTGTAAGAAAGGCTTTTTTTTTTTGTAAGAAAGGCTCAGATGCATCTGTGAGTTGCTCTGCTTCTTTTATATGATAAGAAAAACATGGTTACAATAATTTAGAGTTATCGGTATAATATGTCATTCTACTATGTCATTTTATCAAACATGTCCATCTACTTTTTTTTTTTACATCAAACATGTCTCTCTACTTTGAAAATGTGATCAAATATACCCTTCTGTTAAAATTTTCATCCAAAAACCGTTAACCATGGTCAAACTTTGGTTAGGGTGACACAAATGTCTAAAATATCCCTAATAATTTCACTTTAGAAATTTTTGGTTATTTTGTATAGCCAAATAATTCTAATAATTTTACTTTGACGAGACCCAGAGAAATAAAATAGGGGATAAAGCTGACATTTTCCCTTCCATTTGTCGATGTCGGGTCGTCTAAATCTTGGTTCAACCATGATTGAGGATTTTTTTCAATGATTTTTTTTACAGAAGGGCATGTTTGATCATATTTTCAAAGTACAGAAACATGTTTGATGTAAAAAATAGTAAAAGGACATATTTGATAAATGAGGGCATATTATACCTATAATCCAATAATTTACCATGTGTCCTTGTCCTATTTGTTAACTTTAAAGTAAATAATGCTTAATTTAATGGTGTGCAATATACCTTATAACAAACGTTTTAGGATTGAAACGTCCTTCTTTAAGTTGTTGGTCTTTGAGACTCCTACTTCTATAAATCCTTCTCAAATTTGAATTCAATCACTTCAATACATTCTTTCGTATCGGTTCTGATAACTCAGCAAGGATATGAAGTCATTAAGCTAAATTGGATACGACAATGAAGGTAGATGGGATGATGGGTAGGGAGTGGAATACAAGGATTTGCAACAGAGAGTTGTTTTGGCCGTAATAATGGGTCCGAGGAGGAGGAAGCACAACAAACACTTTGCGGTTAACCACTAGCCACACACTACGGTCATCGGTTAGTTGCAGTTAACCGTGATAGTAACTAGAAAGAAGGTCGTTGGAGGTGAGATTTGAGCCTCTGAGGTCTTTGAATCAACAAAGAGAAGGCCATTGGATGCTTGGCTCGTTGCACGTGCTCTACTCGATGGACGACAAGACATAATGATAGAGTTGTTGGAACAAGGTCGTTGTCACTGTCACTCCTCACTGTCGGTAGATTCCTCTCGTCTCTCGACCTCGTTAGTCAGTTGAATTCGGTGGAGCCTTGGATGGCAGAATGACTGAGTTGGGGTGGACTTGCGCTAGGTGGGTTGGTGGTGGTTGGTCCTGTTAGCTTGAGATGTTGGACCTAGCCCTAGCCTGCCGGCTGTTGTTTTAGTGCGGTTAATTAATCGACCGTGATTATATTCGTTACCGTATGCGGTTAGTCTACAAACGACAAAACAATCCATTTTACAAACCGTAATCGTATAAAAGTCCCCAGTAATTAACCGTTAACCGCACTTATTCGTTACGTTGTCGGTTAACCCAAAAAAAAACCCCTAACGGTTTCTTCCACCCCCCTTACCCATATGCATGCATGGTGGACATACGGCCAAGTGCTCTTTTGACAAAATCAGAAATGGACAATTATTTGGGCGGAGGGATGGGGAGTCATGTGGCAGTAAAGGAGGCAAATTAGGGAATGACTCGTGGCCAAGATTTAGCTAGAAAAGGGGGACACCCGGATGACAAATTCACCGGCCACCTCATAGCCCATCATCACCCATTATTAAAATCTACAAAGTGTAGAAACAGAATCCTGTGATTGGAGATCTGCTTGCTGGCCAGTGATGTAACATAGGGAGACCGAATTTGCAGCCCGGCCGGCCAACCCCCATCTCTCTCTCTCTCTCTCTCTCTCTCTCTCTCTTTTCTCCGCACATGCTCTCACATGGAATCCTTTCACAGTTATAAATACACGGCTGTCCACATTCTTTCTTTCCCAAACTATGTTCTGCTAAAATCCTCTGTAACCCAAGAACCAAGGAAAAGAAGCCAACTTTAATTACAAACAATGGCAGCCAAATTCCAGAAGAGATCAGTGAGCTTGCCCGCCAGATCTCACCCTGCAACGATTAAAATCCACGAGGAGCTCACCAAGCTGGGAGAACTCGAGCAATCATCGGCGGCCACTTCTTCTTCTAGTTCGGCCATCTGCAGCAGCTTATCAACTATAAGAGACGTCTATGATACCCTGGACGAGCTTCTCGCCATGGCATCGACTCAAGAAGCTCTGTCTCGCCGCCGATGCGTGGCAGAGGAGGAGAGGTTCTTAGATGGATCTGTGAAACTTATGGACACTTGTGAGATCGCCAAGGATGTGATCTCGAGGCTAAGAGAAAACGTGGCAGCCCTCCAGTCGGCAATCCGCAGGAGAAGGAAAGGCGACTCTGTTTTGGAATCCTCTGTTTCTGACTACATACAATTGAGGAGGAAGACGAGGAAAGACGCCAGGAAGTTGGTAGCGCAGTTGAAGCAGCAAATGGGCAATCATAATTACAAGCTTCCGGCGGCCGATCAGGGTGATGATGATGAGCAATTCAGTGCTGTCATTAGGGTGATGCGAGAAGTTAATGCGGCGAGCAGCTGCGTATTGCAGGCGCTGTTGAGTTTCGTTGCGACGCCGGTTTTTCGCAGGGAGAAAAAACAGAGCAAGTGGGGGATTGCGTCCAAGCTGGTGATGACGCGCAAGGTGGCGGCGGTTGGGTGCGAGGTGAACGAGATTCAGGCTGCGGATGTTGCTTTGTTGGTTGGGGAAGGGGAGAAGAAGCAATTTGGTACCAACGAATTGGAATCAGTGGAGAGGTGTTTTAAGGAGATTGAGGATGGTTTGGAGGGCGTTTTCAGGAGATTGATCAAATCCAGAGCTTCTCTGCTCAACATACTGTCTCAGTAGGAACATTAATTCTACTATAGCAGAAGAATGAATTTTTTTCTGAATTTTTGCTAAGATGGCTGGCTTTCCATGCTAGATTTTAGAGGTGTTGAAAGCTATTAGATACATAGATATTACAAGTGTATATGGTAATGATGATTTTGTTAATTCTATCATGGATATCCTCTCGTGCATTTGGTAAACCCATGTGTGTATGTTGTGTATTTTATCCCCCACCAAGTTCACGTGAAATGGACTGATGGATAACGAACTCTTCAATTGAAAACGACGCAGTCCGAATTTTAAGTCAGAGTCTCATACATAATATCTTTTAGGTTAATATTCTTTGTTCATAGTTTTGTGAAAGAGAAACTATTATCCTTTCCTTCTTTTTTTAAAAAATGTCGTACCAAATAATCAAACTATCAAACTACCGGACCAGACTCTTCGACTTGATTTATCCATTTTATTATGTTTGTCATCCAAAAAATTCATTCCTTAGTGGAAATAGAGGAATGAAGAAATTATGGATGGGAAAAAGTACTGAGAGGCAGGGTTGATCAGCAAAATCATATCTTGGATTCAGGTGTACAATCAAGCAAGGATTAACTAGGAAAAGAGCACCATGGCACCACGAAACAAGCACATTCAAACGTCCATTGCTTGGAAGCCACCTAGAGAGAATTGGATTCAAATCCAAACTGACGGATTAGTGCTGCAAATTTCGAGGAATGCAGCAGTAGGGGGCCTCCTTCAAGACCACCTTGGAAGATATCTCGACACCTTCACTTGCAATTTGGGGAGCTGCACAATCACCATGGCTGAGTTTAGAGGAGCAGAAATTGGGCTGTAGAGAGCGCGGGAGAAAGGATTTCGCAAGGTTGAATTGAACCTCGACTCTTCGACAACAATAAACATCATGAAGAACTTCGACGACATGGATCACCGTCATGGACTCATCGCAGCACGCATTGGGAAACTTTTTGAACCTTAACTGGGAGGTTATAATCTCCTGTCTATAGAGAGGGAAACTTCGATGTCGATGAGTCACTTGGCCCCTTTTGGTACACATTCCTTCGATGTGTACGACCCCAATCTTTGTAATGGTTATTGTATGATTCTATGACCATCTCCATGGATCGTTCCATTAATTTAATGAATTAGGACGCACTGTCGTCCGTAAAAATAATCACGTTTTATTGCTCACTGGTATTCTAATTAAATTAAATTTATCATTATGGCAGTCATCTATAGTTTTTTTTTTACCGTTAAACTGTTGATGGGTCAATTATAGTAATACCATAATATGTCGTGGAGACTATGAGAAAACCCATCATTAGGAATCTCATCAATTGAACCCTATTGGTCTTTCTTAAGGGCATCAGGCATTATTATTCTTAACCGCATATTTTGTGCGTGTGTCATTGTAAACACGCCGCGAATCTAGCATCGTGCAGAAAGATAATTGGCCGGTCTAATCAGGCCGGTACGTAGAAGGTGGTCAGTACAATTCAGTGTCCATGGGAGACAATGGCAGGATAAAGAATGGATTGTGTCTAATTAATTCCAGGGGTTGGAATTGGATTAATTTGATATCTCAGGATTAATTAGGTTAATTAAATATGAGGCTATGATCTCTTTTTTTATGGACTCAATCAGATGATTGCTTGTTACAAATGCAATGAATTTAGGAGTCCTTTCACCGCAGCTCAAAGGCAGTTATATATATATATATATATATAGTATGACAATCGTTGTGGCTAAATTAATTAATTAGCAATGTATAGGGCCGTATATACGGCGTACGAAGAAGAGTGATGAGTGTCGTCACCAAAATGCATTCTTAAGCTGGTCGGTCCGTGGGACTGCAGATCATCGACAAGCTTTTTGCCGTCCATGTTTGATCAATCATCGATCACCAAAATTAGTAGCAGGCTAGCTAGCTGCAGAAGGCCCCGGTTAGCCTGACTACCCCTAAAGGGGTAGTCATTTTCGACACCCATCATTTGATTGGTCCATTGTAGATAGTCCTAATCTAAGATTAATTGCTTACAGTTAGTAATTATTGATAATTAATTGCATAGAAAAAGAGAAAGAAGTAAAAGTGGCGACCCCACCCATAATTTAAAATTCATTCCCTCTTACCTTTTTCACTTTCACCGTTTCAGTTCCCCTTCCCTTCTATACCTCTGCCTCCAGAACCCACAAAGAACGCTTCGCCGCCGACTCATAAAATCGCCGCCGTAGACCCTAATCTCCTTCACAAACTGCGGTCGCCCACTCCCTCCCGTCGGAAGTCGTCTCTCTTTCATCCCGAACCATAGACTTCAGCACCCGCCGCAACCCTTCGACGCCGACTCATCACTACCCCTTCGCAACCCTTCGCAACCCTTCGGCGCCGCCGTTAAACATCATCTCCTTCACAAAACAGCCGTCGGCCCGTCGGAAGTCGTCTCTCTTTCCCCCCGCTACATCGACTTCGAACCCGCTTGAGCGATTCCCGTCCACGATAGTATAGCTGCGACAGAGGCTATATATTTAACGATAGCGGCGCCGGCGTGATTTTCCCCTTTAATTCATCCTAAACTGAGGCAAGTATACTCCGAATTCTTTTATTGTTGTCGTCTCCTTCATTACGGCATTGCATGTTGTTTTCTGATTGTCTTGCGCAGTGCATGAAATATTTTGATTGTCTTGTGCAGTGGTAGTTCTATCACAGTAGTGGTAGTTCTATCACTGTTGTGGTAGTTCTATCACTGTAGTGGTAGTGTGGTATATCACTCTAGTGGTAGATGTGTAAGTATAGTTGTATATCTAGCATTATAGTCGTAAATCCTTCACAAGCTAATGATTGTCTATCGCTGGATTCGTTAAAATATCACTAAAGTGGTAGTTAGTTGTAAAGTTTATGTTTATAGGGCTATCACTGCAGTGGTATTTACAACTTATTTTTTGTTCGTGAAAGTACCACTACACTGGTACGTTTGTTAGTTCGTAGAATTGACTTATCTTCCAATTAAACCAGGAATGGCAAGGACAAAGAGAACTGGTCCTGAGATGCCTAATGCTTGATTGTGGAAATAGTTACAGACATGCTCGAGGACGAGAGTAACCTAATGCTTGAAGAGTTGACAGTTAAAGCTTCTGAGGCACACGAAACATTGTTCACTGCAGCTACTCAAGTGACCCAGCCATCCTTCGCCAACTGATTCTTTTTTGCTTATGATTCTAGTGGACTATTTGGTTATTTGAATTTGAAGGATAATTTGGTCTTTGTTTACATTTCGGACACCCGTGTTGAAACAACTTTATTGATCCTATGGATGGGAATTACCTATTATGGTGTCTTGTTTAATATTTGTGTTGTTTGAAAAACAGTTGGTAATTATAAACGCGTACCAGTACTCTGGTACATCTATCACTGCACTGGTACATGTACCAGTGCACTGGTACATCTATCACTGGACTGGTACATGTACCAGTCCATTTGTACATGTACCATTCTATGTGATAAATATAATTCAGAATATAACCAATATACGTTATATAATTTATCTCGCTCAACCACAGTTCTTTAAAAATGGAGCACAGTTCATAAAACGAAAAAAAAACAGGATTCAACAAATAGAAGTTGACAGGGGATCACTATACTGGTACATCTATCACTCTACTGGTAAATGTACCAGTACTGTGGTAAATATATCACAACTTGAAACATCGTTATTTAATATTTGTGTTGTTTGGAAAAAGTTATAAACGCGTACCAGTATTGTGGTACATCTATCACTCCACTGGTACATGTACCAGTCCACTGGTACATCTATCACTGGACTGGTACATGTACCAGTCCATTTGTACATGTATCATTCTATGTGATAAACATAATTCAGAATATAACCAATATACGTTATATAATTTATCGCGCTCAACCACAGTTCTTTAAAAATGGAGCACAGTTCATAAAACGAAAAAAAAACAGGATTCAACAAATAGAAGTTGACAGGGGATCACTATACTGGTACATCTATCACTCTACTGGTAAATGTACCAGTACTGTGGTAAATATATCACAACTTGAAACATCGTTATTTAATATTTGTGTTGTTTGGAAAAAGTTATAAACGCGTACCAGTATTGTGGTACATCTATCACTCCACTGGTACATGTACCAGTCCACTGGTACATGTATCACTGGACTGGTACATGTACCAGTCCATTTGTACATGTACCATTCTATGTGATAAAAATAATTCAGAATATAACCAATATACATTGCCAAGATAATGATAATGATAATGGTAATATATGAACATCTGCCAGAAATCAACAGACGGCCGGCCAAGTAACGAATCATCTGCCGCCGCCGTCTCCGCCAGAGCCACTCCCAACTCCAACTCCTTTCCCAGCTCCGGCACCACTGCCGACGCCAACTCCAACACCAACACCAATCCCAATGCCAAATCCACCACCGGCTCCTCCGCCACGTCCGCCACCGAGACCACCACCTGCACCTCTACCGCCCCCACCACCACCGAGACCACCACCTGCTTGCTCCTCCGCCACGTCCGCCACCGAGACCACCACCGCCAGCCGTGTAGTGATGAACCAGAGCTATGGTTCTCCACCGCGGCGGCGATGGGAAATAGCAGAGACGGGAAGCGGAAATAGAAACAAATGGAAAGGGAGTAGAAACGCCACTCTTTCCATCCATGGTTCCAGCTAAATTGCCCCACTTCCCGTGCATAATTAATATGCCAGTTATTCTTTTCTCCATCCATATTTATTTTCTCCAGCCATTAATAGTTGCCTGATAATTAAGTATACTTTGGACCAATCAAATGGGGGGTGTCGAAAATGACTACCCCTTTAGGGGTTAGCATAGTATCCTATCCCCAGGCCATGGAACACGAAGCATTTCAATATACATATACATGTTCCTTTGTCCAGCATGTGATCGACCAGTACCGCCATTTATGAAGATCACTCAAGGAAGCCGACAATCGGTTCAACTCAGCCCCGGA